CAGCACAATTTGTTATAGCTAAATCTTGGAAGCAACCAAAATGCCCATCAACTGAGGAATGGATAAAAAGATGTGGTATTTTTATTCAATGGAGTATTGGCCATGAAAAAAGATAAACTCGAGGTTTTTGTAGGTAAATGGATGCAACTAGAGATCATACTCATAAGTGAAATAAATCGGACCCACATGTTAAATACCATATTGTCTCCCTGGTGCAGGAACCAGAAAGAATAAGTGAAACTCAAAATGTACAATAGATGATAGGAAAAGGAAAGAAATTGATCAAAGGAAGGAATGACTGAGATGAGGGAAAAAAGAAAAAAGAGAGAAGGAAGGAAAAATATAAAAATATATATGAATAGCTGTGATAACTGTATTGCTGATGTCTGATGCTATACTGAAAGGAACAGTTAATGCTTAAAATTTTTTATGTTTTGACCAATTTTGCATGCTTTTATCTGGTAATCTGAGCAAGTGATTTCACAGTAACAATATGCAATGGAACGACCATGGTGAATTCCTACCATCTTGTCTAATTAAACTCTGTATTATCTCTAATGTTTTATCTAATAATTATATTTTAATTTTCTTTAATGGTTTGAACAATCTTCCATTCTTACATTTAGTAATTTGAGCAATGTAGTTGAAGATAACGATATGTAATATAACAACCACTGTTAATTCATATTATTTTGTCTTGAAACCTTGTTTCCCTTTAAATGTTCTTGTTTTGGTTTGTTTATGTTTGTGATGCTGGTACACTGCTATTGTTCTTTTTTTTCTCATTTACTACTCCCTTTACAATAAAATTTTTAAAAAGATAAATAAATAAATACATACTAGAAAAAAAGTTTTACATGATATAGCAGCTCTCATAGGAAATGAAAACCTTGAGACAGAGTTAAGATTGTATATTTTTATGCTTTTTGATGACTAGTGGACTGTCATGGAGAACTACAATTGGACAAAAGGGTGTGATCTAATGGTAAAAATTTGTGGGCTGCTGGGTGTGGTGACACAGGTTTATAATCTCAGAATTTGGGAAGCTGAGTCAAGAGGATCTGTAAGAGTTCAAGACCAGCCCGAATTGATGAGTGAGACCCTGTTTTCAACAAATAAATGGGTGAATGAATGAACAAACAAACAAAAAAGAACAAACAGACAAAACTTGTGGGATCTCAACCAGGCCTATGTTTTGGATTGTTCACTATGATCCTGTGTCTTCAGAGATAAGGGTATTCCTTATCTCTGGGTACAGTGAAGGTGCCTCTCCAATGAGGACTTTATGACTTGCTTCAGTGGAAGGGCAGAAACTCCTCCCTAGGATAGGTTTTATGAACTGCCTTGCGGGGAAGGACAGGGTCTGGAAATGTGAATGACCTTTTTGCACTGTTGCTGTCTCAACTGTCAAATTGTGTGCTTTGGGGTAGTGTGTCCTGGACTGAGGTTGTGGGAGGATCACTCTATTCCAGCATCCTACAGTTGCAGAGGAGGGCTCCTACCCACCCCTCACCAGCCCTGCTTCAGGGACAGTGCTTACAGCTTTCTACTGCTCTGTGTCCTGTGGTCTTCTGCAGGGAAGGCCCAGCACCAGCAAGATCCTGATCCCCCCTGCGCAGTAAGATATCATCTAATATCTAGCAGCAATGGATCAATGCTGTCTCATGTCAGCCAACTGGAAGAACTTTACTTTGAGGATCGCAGCGAGGTTGACCAGCTGCCCTTTTTCTGAGGCATGCAAGGGAGAAAGGATTGCAAATGTCTATATATTTATTAACGGGGAGTTATCTGGTACCTTGCAAGTCACTTTAGATTCTAGCTTGCTTCTGTGCCTCAGGCATGATGTAGCAAAGAGAACGCCTAGCTGCTTGGATAGCAGATCAGCACAGGACCAGGAAGGCACTGCCCTCACGGGACCCTTTGGAAGAGGAGATTTGGAGGAAGATCGAATGGGCTTCTGAACTTGGGAGCTTGCACGTTTGCAGCCTGGGGTTTGGGCTGAGGCAGGTTTAGCTGCCGCCTCCTCAGTTATGTGGAATGAGAGCCCTGATGCCTGCTGCTTGTGACACTTGTGAGAATCAGCACCACTTGGAAAATCCGTCACCAGATTCCCTCCCAGTGCCCCAACACCCTCTGCCCAATTCTTTGCTCCAATCACTTTGGTGTGAAATCTGTAATGGGGCCCAGGATGTGGTTTTTTTTTTTTTTTTTTTTCTCCGGTACCGGGAACCGAACTCACGACCTTGCGCTTGCCAGGCAGGCGCTTTTGCCGCTGAGCTAAATCCCCAGCCCTAGGGGCCCAGGATGTGTAAAACATACATAGGGAGATGTCAAATTTTGTGCAAATGGAGAAATTCCTACTGTGATTAACCTACATTTAATTAGCTCACAATTGCACTTCAGCAGAAATGATTAAATTTCTACAGTTATTTCCAACTTTGTTACCAAATTTTAAAAGTTTTTTTTTTTTTTCAATCTGAACCATTCCAGTGAACTTTTCATCTTGCTTTGTCATTCTAGCACAGATATCCTAGTACTTCAAGTAAATGTAGTATGGCCTTGTTATGATCTGAATGTTCATATCTCTAAAATGCATATGTTGAAAAACTAACCCCCAGGAGATGATGTTAGAAGGTGAGGCCTTTGAGAGATAATTATCTAAGAGAGTAGAGCCCTTGTGAATGGGGTTAGTGCACCTATAAAACAGAATCCAGAGAAACTTGCTAGGGAGAAGCACCATCTCAGAAACCTGAAACTCGGTCCTTCCCAGACACAGAATCTGCCAGTGCTCTGTTCTTGGACTCCTTAGTCTCTAGAACAGTGAGAAATAAAATCCTATTGTTTACAAGACACCCGGTGTATTTTGTTAGAGAAGCCTCCGTGGACTAAGATGGGCTTGATAGCTTCAGGTACAGAATGGCGTCATAACTGATACACATTTAACAAAGTGGTTAATAGAAGCGATGCCTTTGCTTTTAATGTGAAAAATATTTATTGTGGACAAATCTTTGAAAGATTGGGATGTCTCAGTTGCAGGGAAAAAAAAGAACCTTGACAGTGTCAGTGATGTCTGGGTGATGAGCTCTGAAAACTTTTGAGAAAAACAGACTATGACAGCAAAACGAATGACAGACAAAATAGAAGGAAACATAATGCAGGAAGAGATCTTACAAAAAAGTTTGAAAGTAAGAAAAAGTGAGTAGCATAGAGGCTGAAGCCAGAGATGGTTCCTATAAAGCCGATAAAAGAAGTCAAGAGAAGGCTCAAAGCCCAAAGGTTGAGATACCAGAGAAGCTGATTTAGTGAAAGAGATTGTTTGGGTCTCTGGATCGGTGCAGTTGTGCATAATCTTGAATAATACTTATGCATCAACATTTCTCAAAGTTTATGATTCTAGCGAAAATGAATCACATGGGCTGAACGTGGTGGTGGAGGAAGGCGTGGATGGAGTTGAACAGGAAAACTGGAGCTGTCGCAAAGCATTGCCTAGAACTTCCTTTACCCGAGCTGACAAAGATAGCTCCAACTATAGCCACTTCTCTAAAACGTCCAAGCCACCAGCACCAGTTTTTTATGGTATAGTTTACCTCCCATTTCAGTCATGGCGAACCTGCGGCACGCGTGCCACAGTGGGCACCCACAACCTTCTCTGCCGGCTGGAGAACCAGTCTTCCCAGCAGCCGAGCATCGGAGAACATTTGTTTTTCCCATACAAACACCCCAATATTCGGGTAAAATTGCAGTGTTGGCACTCTGTGATAAATAAATGAGTTTGGGTTCAGTTTGGGCACTCGCTCTCTAAAAGGTTTGCCATTGCTGCAAGATTATATTCCAGTGAAGGCACATCTGACTATTTTAGGTATTCCAGGCTTTGTCTGGCAAATGGTACCTCAGCAGGCCTTTATAGTCCTGCGTTCTCCATTTCTCTGTCTTTTCTTTCTCGGAGTCGTTTTGTTTTCCTCCTCTTTTTAGCGGGCGGTACAATCAAAGAGTCTCGAATTTTAATGTGTAAACGAATTGTGCAGCGATCTGGCTAACAGTCAGGTCCTGCCTTCCTGGCAAGCTTCCCTTTGATGCTGGTGTGGCCGATCCTCCGAGACTCACACTCTTGGGTTTGGATTATAGAAAGACGGTTCAGCACAAGATTATATTCTGGGTTCAAATCGGAGTTTTCTCTTCGATGTGTGACTGTGGGCAGGCAAACTTTCTTGCCTCCGTTGTAAAGGGAGAGATTTACAGCCTCTGTTGCACAGTTATGATGACGGTGCAAGAGGAGAGCAACGCTGCGCGCTCGGGCAGCTGGAGTGCTGGCACCGCGGAGAGGCCGGGAGGCGTGGCCAACGCGGGGCCGGGGGGGCGGGGCCGCGGCTGTGCGCATGCGCCGCAGGAAGCGCGTGCCCCAGGTAGGGGGTGACCGGGGGCTTCTGCTGGGGCGCTGACTCCCCTGTCGGTGCGACGAGAAGTGTTGCGTGTTTGTGTGTCTCTGCGCGCGTGTGTGTGTGCGTTGGGAGATTTTCCAGTTCCGGGGTCATGCGAAAGGCGAAGGACACTCGCTTGGCACCTCCAGGTGGTGGGAGGCGGCGGGCACAGGCCGGCGCGCGGGTGCGCCCTGGGGGCCCGGGGTGGAGTGGGTGCGGGCGGGCCGCGTGTGCTGCCGCTTGCTTGCAGCTGCGTTCGTGGGAGCCCCGGCCCGACGCCGGGGAACCCGCCTCCGCGCGTAGACGGGGCACCGCGGCCGCAGTGGCGTCTCCTGGAGGCGCGGAGCGTCGCGCGTCACCGCCCCAGTGCGCCGCCGCAGGTCGGGATCCCGGCGTGGCGCGGCGCGGGGCCCTGAGCTTGTGCTTCGCAGCCCGCTGTTCTGTGCGGCTGGTGGAGCGCTTCATTTGCGCGGGCCCCTCCTTTTTTTAAGATTTTGTAGCAGGAATCGAACTCGTGACCTCAGGCTTGCCAGGCAGGTGCTTGTTCCGCTGAGCTATATCCCCGGCCCCTCTGTAAGGTCCCCTCCTTTGAAGTCCAGCCTGTGCCTCTGCTGCCAGGTCGGAAGGGCCTCCGGGTGCCCCCCACCCCGCTCCCACAGTGTTCCCTGTGGTCTGCCCACGTGGGCTTTGTAGTCGGTTGAAACACTCCTGAACCTGCGGGAGTGCGATGGAACGTGTGCATCACTTCTTAAGGAAGGTAAATGCTTTATTGTACAGTGTTACTGGAGCTTTATTTTTTGAGGCGTTAGCATCACCCCCTCCTAACATAAGTCTTGATGGATTCCTTAAGCTGTGGAACTGGCCACAGGCAGGTAGGGGTGTGTGTGTGTGTGTGCGCGCGCGCGCGCGCGCGTGCGTGCATTCCCTGCCTCTGGAACATCAAAAGTAATCCAAGAAATTTCTGTATTGAGCACATCTTTGTCAGTACTGTGCAGTATTGTGGAGAACAGCTCCCCACATCTACTCATCCACCTCTTGGTTGTGTCTAAGTTTTTTTACTTCCTTTGATTGCATCATTTCTCTTAAGAGTAGTAGTTTTAAATTTAAACAGGTGTGTGTAGGGGGCCTGGGATAACATTAAAGTGGAAAAGGGATGTAATCCCAGTACTCGGGAGGCTGAGGCAGGAGGATTGTTTCGAGTTCACAGCCAGCCTGGGCTACAAAGTGAGCTCAAGGCCAGCCTGAACTGTATAGTGAGACCCTGTCTCAAAAAAAAAAAAAAAGGGAGTTTGGGGGAAGGGCGTCTTACAATAATCTATTACTTACCTTCACCCTCAGGCATTGTGAAAGTGAGGCAGAAGCAAATGGAGCAAGTGCCTTCCCGCGAGCAGACAGCTGGGCCTTACTAGACGACTAGTCCTGTCTGTGCAGAGCACAGGTGGGAGAAGAGTAAAACCTGCAGTCAAGCTGCTGGTTCTTTCGTTTTTCCCTTGCAGGCTGTATGGAGGCAGAGTAAAGATATGGGCCTATGCTTCATATATTCAGAAAGAGGCCATTTCTGATTTCTTGTTACATAGCTGTTATTCTTGCTCAGCTTTAGAAAATGAAAGAAACTTCTTTGGTCTTTGTCCTTTTTTGGTGGTGGGTATTGAACCTAGGGCCTGGCACATGCTAAGCGCACTGGCCACGGAGCTCCCAACCCAGCAAATACTTTTTGATTACTTTTAACTATAGGAAGGGAGTTAAGGTCTAAACTGCCTGTAGTTTTGGCAGTTTAGGTCTGGGTCATAACCCAATCAGCTTTCCTCCTCGTGTAGCTTATGGGCCTTTTGTATCACAGTTACTTGGGGAGCTTCTAAATAAAGGGCAGCTTCCTGGTATGCCAAATCCAGCTTTGCTGAATCAGAATCTAGAGACTGGGGAGCAGAGAACTGGAGGCTGAGGTTTAGGAATACACATTGTATTTTATTTTATGGACAGAGCCTCGCTTTGTAGTGCAGGCTCGCCTCAAACTCAGTATATACCCCAGGCTGGCCTTGAACTCATGGCAGTCCTCCTGCCTCAGCTTGAGTTCTGGGGTTACAGGCATGTGTCACCACACTGGGTAGGAATACATAGTTTAAACAGGCCTCTTAAGTAATGCAGTTAAAGACAACTCCCCAGGAACAAGAAACAGTTAATCTATCTGTGGTTTATTGTGTCCCTTACCATGGAAATTGAAAACTATATAAGGTATCTTAAAACAAATGTATAGTAATTTGGGATTTAATTTCTATATAAAATATAATATATAAAATATATATATTTTATTTCTATATAAACTTTTCCAACTCAAAGTGGACTGACTGTTACAGGTGTGACTAAATATACTCATTCAAGTTCACACGTAATTGTTATTGTTAAATTTAGGATGGCTCGCACTATGGAACCACTGGCAAAGAAGATCTTTAAAGGAGTTTTAGTAGCTGAACTTATGGGCGTTTTTGGAGCATATTTTTTGTTTACTAAGATGAACACAAGCCAAGGTAATCACAATTCAGAAGTTAATGCTTCCTAGAGAAGTATACAATTTGTTAATACATTTTGGATGTAAATGCTAGTGGTTATTTGTGGTGAAAATGCTTGTATGGCTTCAGAGTATTAGATGTTTTTAAGGGGAGGAAGGGCAAAGGAGAGATTCATCTCCCTTATAAACGTGTTTCACACTTCCACGCACTTCACTAGTTGGGAGGGAAGAGCAGGTGTTCTCTGTCCGGCTTAGTTTGGGAGGCAGAGAGGAAACAGCCACAATTCCTGGCTTGGTAGCCTGAGAAAGGGGTGACATCACTGTATTGTGACAATACTGCCTTCTTGGGCTATACGAAGTATTCTGAGTCAACCGTGGGCCCTGAAAGCCCTTCCGACACATCAGAGGAAGTGCTTGAACATTTTGTTAAAATTTTGTATTAGGGCCCTCAATTTTTAAAATTAGGAAGTAGTTTATTTTCTTAAAGCATGTCCTGTGACTATCTTTGAAGCTTGTCACCTTTGTCAAAGTAGTTTACTGGAACACTGGACCAGGGTGATATGGACATTCAGTCTGTACTTTTAACCATTCCAGTAGTTATTTAGAAGGAACTTACAGCTGGGTGTGGTTGCACATGCCTGTCATCTCAGCTTTTAGGAGGTTGAGGCTGAGGCAGGAAGACTGCAGTGAGTTCAAGGGCCAGCCTCAACTACACAGCAAGACCCTGTCTCAACTACAAAAAAATGGCTGGGGATATAGTCAGAGGCACAGGCACCTGCATGGCAAGCACAAGGTCCTGAGTTTGATTTTTGGTACCAAAAAAAAAAAATTAGAGATCAAACTCAAATACTATTCTAATTTGTCAAGTAAAATGACATCCATTACAAAAATCCATAGTTAAGAAAATTATATATTGAAACTAGAAACTTGCTTTTAAGTATCATTTCTTTGTAAAATTGTATCATCTCAATTTTTTTTTTTTTGGTACTGGGAATCAAACTCGGGCCCTTGCGCTTGCCAGGCAGCCGCCGTGCCACTGAGCTATAACCCTGGCCCCACATACACAACTTTTAAAAATCGTATATATATAAAATCTGTAAGAAGGCTCAGTTAAGGCAAGTACAACTTCAAATCTTACCGAAAAAGTTTTAGTTCCTGTATTACAAGGATCTTAGAAAAAAGTTCCTGACCCAAGTCCCATCATATAAATGCTGAAACACTCAATCATGGCTCTTTGTGTTAATATAGGGAATTTCTAATCGTATCTAATTTAAGGTTTCTCTTTCTTATCAGATTTCAGGCAAACAATGAGTAAGAAATTTCCTTTCATCTTAGAAGGTATGTTTTCCCTTAAAAAATACAGTACAATTTTTTCAGGTAATCTATAAACTAGTTAATTTTTCATAATTAAAGGGGAAGTGACTGTATTGTAATCTGTCAACTTACAACAATACTATTCCCTCCTGTTGTAGTTCCTTTTGAGACCAACGGGGAAAGTTCTCACCTACAGTTACCTAGTTGTGAGTGGCTGGTTCTTAATTCTTCAAGGGTTAAGAACACAGACTTTGGAACGAGAAGCGTCAAAGGTGGTGATGGAAGCAAATCACATGTTGAATCTTTGGTTTTAACACTGGTTTTTCCTCACATTCGCTAACTTCTTAGAGCTGCTTCTTTCTATCTAGAATACCTACTTCATGGGATTGTTAGGATTAAACAAGAGATTATGTACTTCAAAGTACAGTAATGTAACATTTGTTCCTTATAATCATCAGTGAAGTGGACAGAGCTTGTACACAAAATAGGTAATCCTATGTAGTCCTTTTTTATTATGTAGCAACATAAAAGTGATTCTTCTCAATGTTAAATTTAACATTTTTACATGGTGTTATAAATGACAACTATTTTTATTTATAGTTTATTACAAATCCATTGAACAGTCTGGAATTTATGGAACCAGAGAGCAAGATCAAGAAAAATGGTTCAATAGCAAAAATTAGGAGTAAGTAAAATGATATATTTTACTTTAATAACTCTCATTTCCTTTGCTTTTTAGTTTTTTGAGTGTTTTTTAGCCTCTTCTTTTTGAAATTTTTCTTTCTCTTGATGATACTTTTCACATCTCTGTTGTGTAGCCAGTCATCACGTTCCGCCTCCCATCGAAGCTGTTTGAAACCTTTAAAAAGAAGAAAGATGAGTGTGTCACACTGTAGATGCTGAAGTCCCAGAGAGTGGCCTGCTGAGTAGCAAGAGCTTCAGGTCACCCATGGCCTGCGGCTTCCACCCACCAAGCCAACCCATCACTTGTTTGTTGCTCTTCTACTTTTATTATCAAAGACTCATGTTTTACAAATAAAACACTAAGGAAGGGAAAAGAACAAATGCTCTATAAAGATTTTCTTTCTCGAGTACTTTCACTTGTAAAAGCATAGAAAACTATTAATATCAGAAGTAACTAAACAGAGTTAAGCACGTAATTTACCTTTAGCAAGCTTACACTATATTGAAGTAGTTCGCACTGCCATGTAAAATCCAATTTTTGTAGCATGTAGCATTTTTTGCTGTGGCCTAAATACATTTTAATCTTATATTATCTAGAGGGAAGATATGAAAAAACCACCCCTTCCAGAGTGTAGGGTACCCTAAAAAAGGTACTCCAAAAATGTCCATCTTCTAATTTTAAGTGAAAGCTATTTTATCCCCCCTCCCCCGTGCTGGGAATCAAACTGAGCCTCACTGTACGCTAAGCAAACACTGCCACTGAAACACATCCCAGGCCAAGGCTATTGTGCAAACTTTGACTGAAAATCCAGGTCACTTACTTGCACTATCTTTGTTAGCCATGGCATTCATGCCAATGTTATCAAATTTGGATCCCATATTTTCGTCCAGCAAGTGGCCAAACTTAAAAAAAAAGGTATATATTAGGAAACTTAAAATAACATAAGATTAGCCACCACCTTGTTAAACAGTCCATCACCCTTACCTCTTCAGCAGATACAAAAAGGCTGGAGTCATTGAGGTTTTGTTTCTTTTTTCTTGGTCCTAAAAATATATATATATATATCACTCAATGCTAAATTCAGTGATTTTGGAAAAAATAGAAGATTTTCAACATGATTTTATTTAAAAATTGTATTTGAGTAAAAATACAATTGTAGTTATCTGCTGGAGGAAATTCCATAGTATCAGGCAAGATAAAAATACTAATGACATAGATGCATTTTACACAACTTTAAATTAGATGTCTAACTTAAAGCAAAACTTTAATTTAGATGTCTTATTGACTATGAAAAAGCTGGTTGCACGTTTATTATGTCATCAGTAAGTTGTATCATACTTTATTCCACCGGCAGGATAATATGGCACTATGCACATACCACATTCCATTTATCCATTCATCAGTTATTGGACATTTGGGTCTTGTCTACTTTTTGGTATTAATGAATAATGGTCTTATGAACAATTATGTACAAGTTTTTCTGTAAACATGTCAGAGCCACTTTTGATGAAATAGTTTCTAAAGCATTCCATCTTAATTTTTTTGTTGGGGGGGGGGTGCCAGGAATCAAACTCAGGATCTTGTGCTTGCCAGGCAGGTACTGTGCCACTGAGCTGTACCCCCTGCCTCCATCTTAATTTTTATTAATCTGAAATTTATGTTATCTCTAGCTGTGTAAATACCCATCTGCATAGCATTGGGAGGTTTTTTTGCTTTCATTCATCCTGTAGGTATTTATGTGTATTTCAGTGAGTAAGCATGTCTTAACGTTTCCTTAAGGAGTGTTTACTCTTAATGATATCCAGGATCTCTAGGTGTACAATAATACCCAAAGGATCAATTAATTATTAAATCTGTATAAAATTCCCCCCTTTGTTTCAATCAGTTCTGCCAAGTATCCTTTAACTCGTGGCCCAAATTATTATCCATTGACACTGGAAATCTTCCATGTCTGAAATAGCATTTATTATTCACAACAAGGCTACTGAGGGACCATCTTATAATAACCAGCTCAGCAGGACTTGTGCTACAGCAACATTTCTATTTGGAGGGATTATCTTGAAAAGTGTGCCTTGTATTTGAGCATATGCTATTAAGTAATATTATATCACATTTAAGGGAAGATAAGATTTGGAAAAATAACAGGTTATAATTTAAATATTTACCAGTTAAATGATCTAGCTATTGAGAAATATTACTAGTTGCATTTTAAAGAGCCTATACAAATTTTGTAGGTGTAAGTACCAATGTAACTAAAATGTTTAAAAATATTTTAAAATTATTTTTATTTAACTCAGTCTACTTATATTCAATATTTACCAGTAAGCAGAAGCTAGAAAGACATTAGAAGTAAATCATGCAGTGCTTCCTACATTTTTATTAAAAACTTAAAACTACCACCTGACATGGCACTTTTTTCTTTTATCAGCACCTTACAAGTCTTATACTGTACAGCACAGTACTATAAAAAAGTTAAAGAACAAATTAGCAGAAATAATTCATATCTGCTAGTGATACATTTTGAGATTAGAATTGTTCTACCTTTATTAATCAAAAGATTAATAAAGAAACATTTTTAGGAGTCAAATGGCAAATAATTGGTTGAGAAAGAGAAAAAGGCAACAGGTATCTTGAAAATTCAGGGTTTACATAAATTTGAATGCCTTAAACATGGATGAAGAGAGGAACCAGATATATTTAAATGTGAAAGGAAGGAACATAGGAAGAGAAAAACGGTTAAATGAATTTGTGCGCAATATTATAAAAACCTCTTTAAGGAAAAAAACCACCTAAATTATACCAGCCAATTGAGAACAGCTTATTTCTTGTTTTCACACGGACACGGCTGAGGTTTAAGAGCGTATGTGCATTTTCTTACCTTGAAATGAGCCAGCGAAGTCAGAGTCACCTGCACCTCTTTTTTTACTTTTCTTAGTACTGTCCTTGGGGTTGACTTCATCAAGTTCTAGTACCCAAGAAAAAATTGCAACAAAGTAGTTTAAGAACAGAGGCTGGAAAATACTACCTCAGAGTATACTAAAATCTTTAGTCCACAGACAGCATACTATAATGCTATTCCACGTGGCTTTCAAGATTTTGTAATTCCAAGTTCTGTATTTTGTGCACACACACAATTTACTAAATGCCTTGATGAATGAGACCAAATAATACAAACTGCTCCAAACAAGAAACCTCCTGGGGTCTAGAGTAAGCGGCAGGATACTGGGTAGGTTTGTGTATACTGACAACATGAAGAAAGGTTAGAAAACAGCTTCAAGATACAATTTTGGGTGCTCTCTGCTAATTTACAACAATAAGATAAAGTGTTTATCTTTATTTGTGGTCTTTTTTTAATGCTGAAGGACTGATGAATAATGACTAGCTTTTATAGAATGTTTATTAATGTTTGTGTTGTTGGGGACTGAACAGAGGGCCTTGTGTATACTCTTCAAGAGCCCTCACACTGAAGTACACCCCTAGCCCCTTGTTAATTACTATCCTAGCATCAAAGAGTCAACATAACTAGTCAACAGATATTGTAGAGAGGGTAACTTCATTAAAATAAAAGTCAAACACTCAAAACTGAGCTGCTTTTAAAAAAGCAAGGAAAAAAAAAACCTCCTTCCACAAAACCTTAAGCTCCAAGTGAGAAGGCAAAGGGCCCTTTTATGTTTCTGGGTATATCAGCATTAATATGAATACAGGGCCATACTTAAGAACCTTGGGACTGGGGATATAGCTCAGTGGCACAGCACATGCCTGGAAAGCACAAGGTCCTGAGTTTGATTCCTGGCACCAAAACCCCCCAAAACAACCCTTTACTATGCTGGGCATGGTGGCACATAGCTGTAATCCCAGCACTCAGGAGGCTTAGGCAGGAGGATCACTGTAAGTTCGAGGCCAGCCAGGTCTACAAAGTGAGTTCAAGGCCAGCCTGAACTGCACAGTGAAATCATGTCTCAAAAAGAACAACAACAGTAACAAAAAAGTAAAACAAAAACAAAAACCCTTTCCTGGGAAAACTAGCCTTAAGAGTGAGGAAAGAAGATACAGTGAGTGACTTAGCTTTAAAAATGGCTTACCTGGAATGCCCTCACTTCCCTCATCTGATACAGCCATGAAGGTTCCTCCATCTTCATCAAGTTCACCAAATTCTTCATTCATACTTCCTAAAGAAACTTCCTCATCATCTAAGTTACCAAATTCATCGTCACTACCCTCTGAATCTTCATCTTCGAAGTTATCCTTAGCTCTTTTTGTTTTCTTTTTCATATTGCTGGAAAAAACCAAAAACTTGTAAAATGAGGTGTATTTTCTACAACATATTCTGATGATTAACAGAGCACTAAACTGTTAAACGACTTAAAAGGAGAACTATGCACCGCTAAAGGATAGTAATATGAATTATGAAAGTCAAAATCGAACTACTGTACTCATACCACCCAGACTTGGTGCAATACATTCCCCTGTACATGATGTAGTTTTCAGGTATACTGTGATAAGGGATAACAATTTCAGAAACGCTGTGACAGTAAAGAGAAGAGCAAAGCATATTATTACCTTACAAAATCAAGGTCTTCCTTTCCAGGGATGTAACAGTTATCATCTTCAAATGTGTCTGCCAGAGAATATACAGATTGTGAGACACAGCAGAGAATAACAAGGTCAATATGTGCTGCAGTTGAACTGACTATAGTAAGTCACAATTCTGTTGTATATGATAAGCATCAAAATGATACAAATGTGACCACCGCTGGTGTGTCTTATCAGTGTATATAAGCCTGTGAAATACCGATTTTAATTAAATCTCTAAAGTGACTTTCAGCAAATTCCAAAATCTTTCCAGTATTTTTTAATGGAAAAAGAAAATTAAAATTATTAATAATTACAGAGGCTGGCATGGTGGCTAATCCCAGCACTTGGGAAGCTGAGGCAGGAGGACTGCAATGAGTTCGAGGCTAGCCTGGGATACGTAAGTGAGTTTAAAACCAGCCTGAATTATGGAGGCCCTGTCTCAAAAAGAAAACACACACACACACACACACACACAAGCAACAAAAGAACACCCAAACCTTTAGTAATTATAGTTCTCTTTACTGCAGGAGAACTACAGTACTAAAGTACTCACTTCTAGTAGGTATAATGTGCAACAAAAATGAAACCAGTGTGAGGCCTTTAAGTTTCCCATGTATTTCATTTCAGTCTGTTATATTTTTACTTAAAATTTCTCATGTTTTATGGATAAAAAACATAAAATGAGACTACTGCCACCAATAATATAAGATTATGAGCTAGTTGTTGTGGCTCATTGTTATAATCCCAGCACTGGGGAGGCTGAGGCAGGAGGATCACTGTGAGTTTGAGGCCAGCTTGGGCTACACAGTGAGTTTAAGGCCAGCCTAAAGTACATGGTGAGACCTAGTCTCCTAAAAAAAAAAAAACAACTGAGTAATATTTTATAAAAGATTTTGCCTTAAGAGTTAATATGTAAATAAAATTTTCACAACATACACTATTCAAAGAACCATTTTTAAAAAGTGAATGTTGGTAAGTTACCAAATATTTAAGCCTCTATTATGATTTTCATAATATTCACAGCTAATAATTTTTAAAAACTAAACTTGCTTCTAACAATACTTTACAAACCGAGTCAACAAAAGAAAATTACCAATCATCTTTTCAAATTCCTCATCATCCACATCTTCTATACTATCTTCATCTGTATTCTGTTTTTGTTTTTCCTTTACAACAGCAACTTTTTTATAATACCTAAAATAAAATGAATGTTATACATTTAATCATATTAAAGGGCCAACCTTATTACAATCAAATAACAATTATAAAAGCTTGTTATAAACTGGGTTAGTGGGTCACACCTATAATCCCAGCACTATGGGAAGGTAAGGCAGAAGGGCCACAAGTGTGAGCCCAACCTGGACAATTTAGTGAGATCCTATGTCAAAATGAAAAAGGAAGCTAGGCGTAGTTGTGCACACCTATAATCCTAGCACTCAGGAGGCTGAGGCAGGAAGATCGCTGCAAGTTATAGGCTACCCTGATGCAAGTTATAGGTCACCCTGGACTTCCTAGTGAGTTCAAGGTCTGCCTGAACTACATAGCAAGACCCTGTCTCAACCCCTCTTCCCTCCCTAAAAGGGTTGAAGATGTAGCAGTGTGAAGGGCCTGGGTTCAATCTCAGGCCCTACACACACACACACATTACACATATTCAAATAGATATAAATGAAGTGATTTAATATATAAATAGCTTTTAATTCAATAAGAGCTGTGAACATTTGAAAAACGAAGTGCAATAAATTTCAAAGATTTGAGTTACTTACAAACTAGTATTTCATAAAAACTACCCAAATTCATGTTAATGGACATGGCATAGTTGTGTGTGTGTGTGTGTGTGTGTGTGTGTGTGTGTGTGTGTGAGAGAGAGAGAGAGAGAGAGAGATACAGCCTTTGCCTAGCATGTATGAGATCCTCCTGGGCTTGATCCCCAGCACTGCAAGAAAAAACAGTAACACAAAGCCAAAAGCATAGTAAAAGGGTGTGTCAGCTTCAACACCAGTGATTTAAGAATAGCATGGTTCTAAATGACTTCAGATCTGAATAATTCATCAGCCCTGTTCTTATGCTAAGACACAGTAAAACTTAGCATTTTTCCTGATGGCATCATACCCTCAAAATTATTCACATTAAATATTTTTAGAAAGCACACCCAATTACACCCAGAGCCAATCTAATAAGATTACTATTACAGGCATTAACAATAATACTAGTAGGTTACAATTTCTTTCTATAATAACACAATGAGTTTTCTTAATTCTCCTCTAAAGCCACTGTCTGGGCAAATTACTCGAGTTATTAGTCCATTAAACTAGTAACAGGCTTTATGCCTATAAAAATTACTGTATTAAAAAGTTATGCAGACTGAACTCCACAAAGTTAGGTTTGCAAACCAAAATTTATATGCTAAATTACTAAAATCCCCAAACTGTCTTTAGTTTCACTAAGATATCGAAAGATCAGCACATGAATGACTTATACTGCCTCCACAAAAACAGATACAGACATATTCTCTGATCTTTAAACAGTATGCCAATGTTAATGAAGCATTTTATGCATTCTAAGAATTTAAATAGTTCTCCCAAATGAAACTGTATTATGTATATTACCTATGGAAAAACACTTCATCCACTGGTATTTGGCTTTCTTCTTTTGCAAGGAACTCCTTGCTGTTCACTACAAAATAAATCAGTGCATCTTAATCATAGTAATCCACTTTATGCTCAAGTTCTTAAAACATGTTTACAACTGTATAATCTTAAAATGTGAGGAAGGTGGACAGAAGGGAGCTTGCGGCGTACGGACAGTCTCTGGAAAAGTGTGCGTGGAGAAGACTCAACATTTAAAACTAGTACCTGGCTACAGAGGGAAGAAGTAGGCAGTGTTGCCCAGTCACAGTGAAAGAACAGAGTTCTTGCATCACCCTTCACACTGCATCCAGGATGCAAATTTCAAGAGAAATTAAAAACTCAGAGTTCTCTTAATGATCAATCACTTTAAATTTGCCATTTTTTACTTACAAATCTTTTGTACATGGGGGTTGGGGAGAGAAGGGTTGAAGGGAGCAGAATTGGAAAAAAAGAATTAAGACACATTATGTATAAGTACGAATTCCCTATGATGAATGTGTTCATTATGTATGGCAAATATGTACTAATAAAAAAATTGGAGAAAGAAAGAAGTTTGACATTTTTTTTGTCTCAGAAAAATGACAATAATGTTTGCCATTCTATACACAGGGAGTACAGTTAAACAAATTTGAAACTTTTAATACTGAAGGGGCTGGGGATTTAGCTCAGTGGTGCAGTGCCTGTCTGGTAAGTACAAGGTCCTGAGTTTGATTCCCGGTACCAAAACAAACTCACAAACAAAAAAAAACCTTTAACGCTGAGGAAAACTAAGAAATAAGAAGGAACTACAGTATTAGCGCGGGTTGTGGTGGTGCACACCTGTAACCCTAGTACTCGGGAGACTGAGGCAGGACTGCTGTGAATTCGAGGCCAGCCAGCACTACATAGCAAGACCTGGTCTCAAAAAGCAACAACAAAAAGGAATATTAGCTTTCTGTTTTTAGAATTAAAATCTGTGATTCATTCTGATTAGATGACAGTTTGGATTCTAACTCTAAACACCTTCTAAACTTTAAGCTCTTTTAGATCTTTGGATATCTGTGAAGACAGTTGTATATGACATGATTTGTAGTCTTAACAACCCTAATCTCTGGAAAAAGGGAGGTCAGATTTGCTATGCAAAGTCTCCTGTGAATAGAAAAACAGAATCAGATCAGGAAGATGGCTACTAAATGTCTATATAAGAAATCAACTAATTTTCAAATGATGCCCTGTGGGCTGGGGATGTAGCTCAGTGGTAGAGCACTTGCCTTGCTTGATACAAGGTTGTGCTTGACCCCCAGGACTGCAAATAAATAAAAAATAAGGCTTTGCGACAGAGCCAGCTGTGTGTTTTTTGTTCTGCTAAGCCCATGTTAAAGAGCCTGAAAATATGAATTATATACGTAGGGGTCATTAATGGAAGTACAGATGATACAAGAATGGCAAAACGGTGACAATGTTAAAGCTGGGTGACAGTTACAGGAGTTAGTTACACCATTTTGTTTATTTACATTGGATGTATGTGAAATTTTATTTGATAAAGTAGAGCCAAGGATTAACACAATGTATGTTTTGTTGTCTTGTGCTGTCCTTTTGGTTTCATACTCACCAGGAAGACTACGAATATCCTTTATAAAATGTTTCCGTTTTGGCTGCATCACAACACTGTCAGTATTTTCTGAAATGTAAAATCATGACAGTCTCAAACCTAGTTGTATGCTCAAATTATTTGCTAAGGATCAAAAGTGAAAACGATTTCATGTAACAGAAACATACCTTTGCCTTTATGTGGCTTTGGGTTTCGGTATACGAACCGATCCAAGAATCTCATTAGTGTGAAATCCTGCAGTGGGTCCCCTGAATACTGAATATAATTTCCCTGAAAAGTGGGGATATAAGAACTTAATTTAAAAAAATAGGTCTATGTAAGGGAAAAAAGGAAAAACATAGCTTCTGTACTACACTGTATCAAATGCACAAATAAGTAATAAATGACCTTTTAAATATCCTAATTGTGCACATTATACTAGAAAAAAATACCGTTAGTCAGGACTCAAATCCTGAAGGGACAAAACACTGCAAATGGAAAGGGGAGGGGACTCTCTCCTGAAGAGGCAAATTACTAAATAACTGCTATGGCATATTTCTGTTCATCTTGGGGAGTGGGACGAATTATTTGCTACTCTGTAGTAAACAAACCACTGCTCCCTTTACAAGGGCAGTAAAATCTAAATGATTCTATCCAGTGGATAAAACACTGTATGACCTGTTTTCACTATCAAAAACTATACTACTAATTTTTTCTTACCTATTTTGAGTATTTTAGACTCACCTGAAGGATAGTCTTTGCAAAAAGGGCTACAGAGGGATGAAAATGCTCAGATAACTAAAAAGAGAAGTATGAATAATGTCAGTATTTCTAAGATCAATTCTTACTACATAGAGCTTATTTTAAAAAGTCCAAAGAATTAAAACTTAAGCCAATACATCAGAAATGTGACTATCAAACATTAGTCTCAGGACCATTTTATACACTTATAAATCAAGGATTACAAGTGCTTTTTTACTGGGTTATATTGACTGATACTTATTAGAAATTATAACAGAAGAATTTAATATTACAGTTCACTGAAAATAGTAAGTCCACTGCATATGTTTATGGAAAATAAATGGCGACAGCAAGAAGAGTAACATTAGTTTACAATTGTGCAAATCACTTTGGTGTCTGGCTAACAGCAGATAGTAGTTTCTTTTTATCCACTTCTGTATTCCGTGTTATTTAATTCAAACATGAAGAAAATCTGGCCTCACACAGATATGTTGTTGGAAAAAAGGAGGATTTAGGACCTCTTTCACCCCAGTTTGGATTTCCTTTGATGCTGCACCAAAACTGAACATCAGTTATAATACTGAATCCGAAACTCTGTTCAAATGGCTTCTGAACTGCGTATTTAGAATTGGTTTACTTTGAATATATGTTTTATCCACACATGAATGTGTAAAACTGTACTAGTTCCTTGAAAAATACTAAGTTATGCAGTTCCTTCTAATGCACCATTTATTTTACAAAGAGCACACTGTACCTCTGATTTCATCAGAAAAAAACTTTTGCATATTAATGTTAACTATGTAGGAGGTTGAGGCAGGAAGGATACAGGTTGAAAGCCTGCTTAGGCAATTTAGTGAGAGCTTCTCTCAAAATAAAAAAATGGAAGGGCTGGGGACGCAGTTCTGTGGTAGCATATGCCAAGTTTCTACATACTGGGATACTGCTGAAGCTTAATGCAGTTGTTACATTTCTAAAATTTTAATATTTGCTTGAAGCAACAGGACCAATTCATTCTTTTTCAGGCCACTGTCTCCCAATATCCAAGTTCAAGTAACCAGTGTGTCTCTCAAGCTGTTCTTTCCTGAAAAAGGTGTAGATGGGTTTGCAACAGTGACACAAGCAGCCTTCCTCAAGACAAGAGACAGCCTTTGTCCTTAGGTACACAGATTAGGTGCATTAATTACCACACGGACTACTGAAAAGCTGTGTACTTTAAGCTCAAGATAAAAAAATCAACCACTTCCTGCTTTATCATTCTGAAGTGACATTGGCCTTTTTTTCTTTTCTGCAAGTGTGTGGTAGGAAGAATACAATGGCTACCTAGTGCAGCTTGGTGTCACGGGCTTTGTTTGTGTTAGGGCAAAAGGAGTATTACCCTTCACTTCTTTGATACTTTCAGTGCTACAGTTAACACAATGACAAAGACAACATCTTGGGGATTACTACGAAAGTAGTTGTGACCTTGCAAGATTCACCCATGCATTTTAAATGGTAACTTTATTGGCAAAAATTCTGTGATCACAAAACCACAGATACCTGATGTACAAAAGCAAAGTTCACCCATTTTATGAGCTATTATATGCAATAATCTACCTACAAAAAGCAATACTTGTAAGACAGGTACAATATCCTTATTTTACATGCATATTAGTTAGAATTTTCTACAGGGTGAACACCTCAGAGTACCCTCTCTCTAACGTGGAAATGTAATGTTCATACTATGTATCAGTGACAGGAAAAACGAACACTTCAAGGTGTTAAATCTATAAGGGCAAAAATATATAGCACAAATGAACTGAGAAAGCTTGAAATTATTTTACCTTTTTGAGTTCCCAAAGACTTGTATTTTCAGCTCCACAGAACAAAGGATTTCTACTGAATGGATCATAAGTATTTAACTGTTTGACACCTAAGAACAAAAAAAACAGTTTTTTTCATATGCTTTCTTCCTAGCCAAGAGGCCACAAAAACTATGACCATTAAATGTTCTCCCAAATGCAATCTTTAACATTTTAACCCAGGCATCCTAGATGAAAAACTCCAAGCCATTTCAAGAATTATACTTAGTATCTAAGCTGATATTTGTTCTTGAATGAACCAGGCAACAGGTTTATTGCACTAAAAAACCCATTCAACACTTTTCAAATAGCAAAAAAAGTGCCAAAAAAAAAAGTTACAAATGTGAAGATGGAAATAATCTGAAGACAGGTCTAGTCTTCCGGAGCTGCAGAGTGCGCCAGGTGTTTGTTACTAAAGCATACCCAGAAGTAATTCTTACTCAGATGTTCCAATAGGAATTTATACATATACGTGTTTAGAAAACACACAAATTTAAAACAAGGTTTTTCAGAACATTCTATGAACTGTCTCAGTGTACATGCTTGTCATCTTTTGAAAGGATTATTCTCCATTTAATTATCAAGAAAACTGATAAATTCTTACAAAAACTTTCTTGGCTGCTACCAAACTTCCTTTGTACTTCACTGACAAATTCACGTTTGGAGATGAATTAACGTAACCATGAGCCCCACAGCAGGGCTGATGAAATGGGTCTGGTACATTTCTTGATCCTCAAAGGTCAGTCTTCTTTTCTCCACAGCCTCAAATGAAGAGGATGCATTTCTAAGCTTTCTTTTCTAAATTCAGTTTGTGTGAAAGGAAAAAAAAACCACTTAGGGTTTCTATCTCATAGAACATTTTCTAACGTAAAACACTACTTTAAGAAACTGTAAAAGCTCAATATGACGGTTAAAATAACCAAAAGGTTCACATAATTCACAATATTTGACCAAATTCTTCTGTTCAGAAATCACAGTTGTGTAAAACACGTTTGTGTATCTCTATGTGTTCTATGTTTGCAGCCTTTTCATGTTCAGGTAAGGCCAAGAAACTCACTGGATCAAAGGTATAAACTTGTTATTGAAGAAATGAGGTTCACTGTGCAGCAAACACATTGTGTTTTCACAGCTCTAAAAATACTTAAGTTCTAAGCTTTATGAGAAAATGTATCATCTTTTAAAATGAAGATAATGGTGACTGGCTGTTTTACAAATTTATTTCTCTGGCTGGAGATGTACCTCAGTGTGAAGCACTTGGCATACTCAAAGCCCCGGATCTGATCCCTAGCACTGTTGGAAAAAAAGTAATTTCTGTAACAATCAAACAGGAAACTATTTCTCTTGTTTAAAAATCAAGAGAATAACTTAAAAGACTAAAGACACCTCACCTTTGAAATTATCCAAGTGTACCCAGGAAGCAGTCTTTGGGTTTTTGGTTTCTGTGTCAGACACAGTTTCCTGTGTCTCAACTTTTTTCATTGTATCTATTTCTGTTTCTTTGTCTGCATCAGTGAATTTTTCCACATCATCATCATCTGCTATGTCAACGAATTTTTCATCGTCAGACTCCTAACAAAAACATGTTAATCAAGTGAAATATTAACCAAGTGAAAGCTGCAATGAAGTATTTAATTATGTGATTTGCTATATCCCCAGTCCTTTAAATTTTATTTTTATTTTAAGCTGCCCAGGCTGGGCTTGAACTTGTGATCCTTCTGCCTCAGACTCTTAAAACGCTGGGATTATGGCATGCACCACCATACCTGGCTCCAAAGTTTTGAGCCAAGAACTACTGAGATTTTGGAACTTTATTACTTGAAAGTACTCAGTTCTCAAATAAGTAGCTAATGTGTTGGAAATAACCCAATTAGGCAGGTGCAACTATTTCCATCTATAATTGAGGAAACTGGATTATAATCTTCCCTAACTACATAATTGCAGCCTTTAGTTGTAGAAGGGTCAAGTAACATGCCCACATGGTTAAGTGTACACCTGGCACTAAAATTCAGGCCCATCTGACTCTAGAGCTCACACTGTGATATGCTCCAGAAACTATATTACTGTCACTGAAACAAAGAATATTTTATCCCCCATTCAATTTAAATACCAGTTTAAAAATATACCATATGATCATCCAGTTGACTTCTTAAATCTGGTTTTGCTTTAAGGATCTCAGACACAAGATACAGAGCTCCACATATGAACGGTGGCATCTGTGTACAAGTAACCTGTAGCAACCTCTTCACAAAAGCTTTCACCCGGCGCAGGACTATGTCTGCTTTCAGAGATTTGTAGACAAGGTTAAGAAACATTGCTTGCTTGGAACACGTCATCAACCCTGGATCCAAGATCTTTCTGTAAAATGAAATTAAGATCAAGTATTTACTTACAGAAATGTCTCAACAACCACATTTTAGAGACTTACAACCAGTTTACATTATCTCATCTTTCAGATAAATGTCTTGCTTATGTTAGATCATTTCTGTTTAAACAGGTAAAACGAAAATCATGGGCCTGAAGAGAAAGAATGATGGTACCCTAAGGATAAAAAGCAGCATTTTTTTTTTTTTGTGTGTGTGTGTGTGTGTGGTTTTTTTCCTTTTCCAAGTATTTTATAAATCAAGAGGGTCCAACCTTAATTGTATGATTTTTATGTAGATACAAGACATCACTTGAAGGGCTAATCCAAAAGCAAGTAATGAAAACTTACAAAAACCTATGACGCAGTGGACCAGACTCTTGGGTTTTTGGCCTTGCATCAGTATCTATTTGCTAGTGACCAGGTGGGCTCCACATGGTTCTAGTGAAGGCCACCTACGAATAGCAGAAAATTAGAGATTTCACAGGTTGTCTGATCCCGTGTACTGGCTGTGTAACATCTCTCCCACACATTATCCTATCCAGACTGCTCTCCCCCACCTCTGCATGTCCACAGATCTAGAACTGATTTCTCTTTTTTGGAGGTTTTTTTGAGACAGGGTCTTGCTATGTAGTTTAGGAGGAAGGCCTTGAATTCACTACGAGCCCAGGCTCGTCTAGAACTCAAGGTGATCCTCCTGCTTCAGCCTCCCGAGTGCTGGGACTACAGGTGTGTGCCAACCATGCCTGGATGGTTCCTCTATTATTCTCTCACTTCCATGAATGTTCTTCACTGTTTCACAAACTTTATTTCGTTGAGTCTCCTACCCTTTCACCCAAGGTCAAATGGATCAAGAATTGTGTCTGTGTTGTTCACTGCTGTTAGCCCAGTGCCTAAACTTCACAGTATGTGGGTGTGCATCGCTCCCAAGGAATTCAATCCAATTTTGGACAGTCTGTTTTGGTAGAAATCCCTTCTTTTATTTTTCCCTGTTGGGAATGGAAGCCTGACCTCACACATGCTGGTCAACCATTCTGTCAGAGCCATACCTCCAGCCCCTAGAAATCCCTTCTTTATCTACAGCTGTAAGTTACTCCTGTGTAATTTCCAACCATGAATTCTACTGTTCTCTGAAGCAATACAATCTAATTACCCTTTTCTATCATAGCTTTCCAAATACTTGAACTTATACAGCTCTTCTGTGTCTTCTTTTCTCCCAAGTCTCTTGCAGGCAGCTCAACTCTTAGTCTCATAATTTTCATTTTGCATTTGGCAGGGGCTGGGGTTTGGGACTGAACTCAGCGCCACTTAGCATGCCCTCTAAGCACTAAGCTACACCTCTAGCCCCCTTTTATGATAATTTCAGTATACTCTGTGCTAACTGCTGAATGCCTTGATTGGTCTGGACTTCAGGAAAATAGGACACTAAGAATTAACACAATCCTCCAGATTAGCTTGAATAATGTGGGGTCATTACTTCCTTTGTCCTATGTACTTCCACAGATGGTTTCCACTAATACTAGAAATCAAAGTACTTAAGCTTGTAAAGTGTTCACACTGCTTTGCATACCCATTTTCCCCAACTGTCAGATGGGTAGTTCCAGAACATCCTCGGTGATACTTTGAGATATTCAGCTTTTCTTCACACTTAAACTTTTCAGTATTTCTATTCATTCAACTCACTTTTAGTCATAAATCCCAGCCACATTAACGGAAACATCTAAGAAGAATTTAGAGAGGACTGCCTCTACCATTTTACAGAGAATATGTTCCTGAAGTTCTTAGTAGCTTTGGAAACAGAACCGTATTATTTCTTTGATCCCTCAATTAGGGATTTTAGTTCAAAGCATTCTCAGTAAACCCAAGAGCAAGTAAGTATTTTAAAATGGCTTAAAAGGCCTTTAGAGCAATCCACTGTGAGCACTACTGGCAAATAGTAATCAAAAGAACTTAGGAATGCACTTTTCCTCAGAGTTGTTATCCTGGTTAAACCACATTGATATTAAATGGATAAAGAAATCAAAATCTCTACATTTTCAACCAAACTAAAAACATTAAGCTTTTGTTGCTTTAAAAAACTGTAGGCTTTTTAAAGAGTTATGGAAAGACCTCTGAGATTTTTTAGTGTACCAGAGAAATGAGTGCCGTGAAATATCCAAGCCAGTAGACATAGATTTGCTACCTAACTCAGCCTCTCAATGTCTGTACAACCCTGCACAAATTACTGTGCCTGAGACTGGAGAGGCATTTACAGGATTAAAGAACTATGACATATTTACATTTAAAGTAGCAGCCAATACTTTGATAGCATGTTTTAGGTAGGTAAGAACTTAACATACAGGTGAGGATTAACACAGTCAACACATATAGTTTGGATGGAAAGTGTCCTCCAGAAGTACATGTGGTAAGGGCTTGTTTTCCAGTGTGACACAACTGGGAGATGGCGGGACTTTCAGAGGTAGGGGCTGGGGTGCTCTGGGGACCTGCTAGGCAAATTTGAACCCTGGTCCCTTCCTCTTTCACTTCCTGGCTATTAAGCAAGAGATTCTGCTCTACCATGCATGCTGCCATGAGATGCTGCCTCAAGAAAAGCAGGCTGATCAATCACGGCCTTCTGTCCACAACTGTGAGCCAAAAAGTTTACCTCTTAATAAGCTGATGATCTCAAGGCATTTGTTACAGTAACAAGAAGCAAACACATATACTAAATAATCAGTCTTCAATAAAATCCCAGTTCAGTCTTTTGCTAGCTATATGACTTTGGGCAAGCTTTATAATCTTGATAATAACCATGACATAGGTGATCCGCTTTGCATTTTTCTAATAAATTAAGGTATGATAAAACAGGACTAGTTACATCTACTATCAGTTTTAATGAAAATTAAGCTATTAGCCCAAGTTACAAAGTAAACTAATGGCTAGGGTTCAAACTCAGTTGGCTTAAGTCTACACTATTAACCATGACATTACATCTTTCCGCACAAGTATGTATGTAGTTAGGTGTGGTAGGATACACTTGTAATCTCAGCTACTCAGGAAGGTCAAAAATTCAAGGCCGGTCGGGGCAACTCAGTGATACCATTTCAAATAAAAAAACTGGAAGTCCTGGGGATGTTTCTCAGTGGTAAAGCTCCCCTGGGTTAAATCCCTAGTACTTAAAAAAGTACGTACAATTAAATAGGTTGCATTCTTTGGTAATGTAGCGTGTTGGTATACTTGAACAGTTCCTAAGAATTTACACACTGTTCAAAATATGCCTCAGTGGGTGAGCTGTAGGATAGCTGCAAAGTACTGGAAGCAAAATCTTTATCTAACATACTTTAAGTGCCTCGAAGGGTGCGACTCCACTGTGCCACAGCCTGAGCGTGTGGAAGAACATGGAGCATGAACGGACTGAGCAGCATATACAAGCACTCAAAATGTACTTGCTGAAGCCAATGCCGTGACACAGGCACAGAATCCTAGCACTCTGAGAGGCTGAGGCATGAGGATGACAAGTTGGAGCCACACTGGACAATTTACTGAGACCCTGTTTCCAAATAAAAACTACAGAGGGCTGGGGATATAGCTCAGGGTGAAGGTCCTGAATTCAATCCACAGTACTGGGAAGAGAACAAATGAAAAAAGTCCCCCCAAAACAGGACCTCACCGAACGAATTACTGGACAGGAGAGGGGACAGAGAACTGAGGGTAAGCGGGAGAAAGACAGTTCAATTATACTTGTGGCTTATTTCCTTCACATCTCAAGATTGAAGACAAATGGAGCAAAATGTAAACTTTAAAATAGTAGGAAGTAGTATGTGACTTACTCGAAGTTGGGAACTAGCAAGCTGCAGAGGAAGGCCTAAAGTCCAGTTCAGTGGGTCCTCCTCTTGCCTAGCAGCGAGGCACATGTGCTTTAGTAGATCCAGTTATTACACTGGCACAGTGGAATGCTATTTACTTACCTGTATAATGCTGTATAATACCGATCTGATATAGTCTGCTGAGAATTCATTACTTGGAAAAGCAACATCAAGGCCTGAATGCTGGTATTAAAATTTACAATATGCAACACTTTGAACAAAGTGTCCACCTGCTCCCTCACTTTGTCGTCCCCACTCTGGGAGTAAGGGTATGCCCTGTTCACACCTGTTAAAAGGGCACTAAGCATTTTTGATTCAATATCTTTCTTCTTGATACAAGTCCGAAAAAAACAAAAATAAATAGTTATTAACTTGCTAGCCAATTCACTTTCTTCATGGGAGAGAGCTATTTGATTTAAAAAGCAAACTGCGTAATATTGAGCCTTGGAGCTGATATTTGAGCGGAAGAGGAGCCTTTCTATTTCACTACACACAACTCCTTTCATATTTGGATGTTTACAAAGTAATGTCTCTAACAGATGGGAGGCTTTTGTGGCTATTCTGTTCTGAGGATCTCCCAGTTTATTTACCACCTGCACAAGAAGAGCCTTTTCTTCCTCAGGCTTGTTACAGAGGAGCTCATGAGCTGCTGCGAGGGCTCGGGTCTTAGTGGCTACCAATGAATCATGACTTAAAGTTTCTAAGACCTGCACAAATTCAGCTACTAAATGTTTCAGCTGGTGTTCAAAATACCATAATATCAGCCTTCTATCTCTTGAGTCCTTGTTGCCACTGGACAGCTGTTCCAGTTTGTTGAAAGGATGCTGGCTGAAAATCCTCAGCTTCCGATTATCTGGTAAAAGATCCGTAATGAGTAACTCTTTGAAAGTGTCCAAAGCTATGAGGCACTGCTGCTTGCTGCCCTTCTTTTTAACGAGGTTCAGGAGAGTTTCTACAAACTGCAGTGTGTGAACAGCATCATCCTGGATAAGAAGAATCATGGCTGCCATCCTGTCACCTAGTGTCCCTGATGATACAATTGCCTTCATCCAGGTAGAAGAGCCTCCCTTTTGATTATTTGTTTTATTTTTGAATAAGTTGATTTCACAGTCATACAGCTTCTGAGCCAGGGTTTTATACTTAGACACAGTATCCCGAGGCTGGGGTTCCAAACAATACTCGTTGGTATACTCCAGATCATACCATTTGCCTCCAGCCTTCAGCAACAAAGTCTGTCTCTCAAAAAATTCAAAGATGTCCTGTTGTTTATCTTTTTTTACTTTTGGCATGGCATTGCTGTTGTTATCAGAATGTTTTTCTGGCATATCCTTATTTTTTGCCTTACGGACCAATACTTTCTCATTTTCTGCTTTATTTTGCTTTTTATTATTTATTTTAGATACTTTTGCTTCTTTTTTGCTGGCATTTTCTTTTTTAGCTGGTTCATCTTCCTCAATGAAAGATTTTGAATATTTGGCCAAGCTAAGGCTTTGAATAAATGCTTTCAGTTCACCTTCTTGAAGGTCATCAATTGTTCCTTTTTTGCCTCCATCCACCACTTCCTCATTCTCATCCAAAGTAGCCAGCATAAGGTAATCTTGCTGCATGAAAACATAAGTAGGTTAAAAACAAATTACAAATATAACATTTTGGTTGACACTTTATCTTCGAACTCTGTGGAACTGAATTATTACGGTGTTACCTGGCCGACTACCCTACATCAAATAAACATTTGATGAATAAAAGATTTAAATATAAAAAAGGAAAGCAAGAGAAATACAGCATAACCAAAAAATTTTTCAGAACAGGGAAAACTTTTTCCAATTTCACATAAAACCCAGAAACCACTAGGACAGGATCAGCAAATTCATCATTCTCTCAAAACACAAAACAGAAAAATCAAGGAATAAACTGTATTACTTAAAATAGCATAACACTGGCAACATCTTATGTAGCCACAATAAATGGCCAGGTAGGTAAGACATACAATGATTTATGCAGTTATGAAAACAGTGATGTAATTTTATACACCAATACAGAACAAGCTCTAAAACAGGAAAGAAAAATGTAATGTATACGATCCCATTTGTGTAAAAAAACACATGCATATATATCAAGTGTATATGTATTTACATGGTGAGGTACAGAACATCCCTGGAAAATATAAAATACCCTTGTAAAATTAACCGCTTCCTAGAAGGGAAATGGCATGGCAGGAGACAAAAGGGGGTAAGACTGTTTAAGTACCCCACATCCTCAATAACCTTTTAAAGCTTGCTCATATGCATTTTCCATTCAAAAATTCTGCATCAAACGTGCGGCTAAAGCTTCATTTCTCCTATTCTCCCCTGCACCCTGCCTCAACTACAGTGGCATTTCTGCGGTTTATGGTACAATTGGGCTGCGCTCTGCATTTGCTGTTTTCTGACTGGACGTCCACCCTTCACACCACTCCCATAGGTGTTTGCTCAGATACTTTCTACGTGATGGTTTCCCTGATCATGTCACCGAAACTGTCACGACTTTCCTCGCTGTCATCCCACGTATTCTTCTCCCTACTACTACTTGGCGCCTGAAGTACTATCCAGAAAGTCTGTTTACTGTTTCTCTTAGGACGTTCAGGCCATGGGAGATGGCTTGCAGAGCGTACGGCGAGTACGCGCAAATACAAGTGAGAGTAAAAATTAAATTTTTAACATCACTGGCATTCCAAACATTGGAACCATGAGGTCAAGACCCAAAAAGTTGGCTTTTTCCAACCTGCTGGAGTGATCTCGCCTACCTGCTAAGGAAGGCCACAGCATAAAACGATCAATACTAACTTTCTTTTGCAAAGAGCAGAGAAAAAAGCGTAGCAAGCGCTGCCAGCACCTTCCGAGGCTGGGACGTGGGTCCGGGACGCTCACCCTGTCCCGCGCTGGCGCGCGCCGCTCACCTACATCACTACTGCACCCGCGCCTCCTCCCCTTCCCGGGGGAGCCTGTGGCCCATACCTTGGTTCCCCCGAGCCGTAACACTTCCTCCAGGGAGAACCCATCCTGAGTTTGACCACTGTCTTCCTCGTCTGAATCGTCGAACACCTCTTCCCGGGGCCGAGGCCGCTTGGCATGAAACTCCAAAGGTTCCTTGGAGGCCTCCATGGCTCGCAACGCACGCGCGCGCACAGTTCGCAGCTCACTTCCGCTCGGAGCGTGACGTACTTCCCCCTACGGCGTGACGTCACCGGAAGTGCTTGCACTCACCGCCCCCGGGACCGGGCTGAGCCCCCTTCCTTGCTCGGCATGGGAGTCCTGGTGAGGTGCGCTGCCCGGCAGCTGTGCTGCGCGGCTCGCGCGGGTAAGAGTGCTCCGGGTAGAACCCCACTGCCGTGGAAAACGCCTGGGTCACCGCGACGGTGTCTCGGTTTCGGGGGAGCTCGGCGCTAGCGACTGGAGTCCGCGCCGGCCGCCGAGCGGCTGTGTGTTCGCGGGCGAAGCGCTGTCTTCCCTGCGTTTCGCGGGCGGGAGGCGCGTGTCTGTCCGCGTTCTGGGCTTGGGGCGGAGTTCAGGGTGCGCGAAGCTGCCTGGAAAGCGCCGAGGCTGCGTGCACGTGTAAATACTAATATTGATTACGGGGCCTGCTTACTCCGTGTGTTTCAGTCGCTCCCTGTTCTTGGAGGGGGAAATACTTCAGCTCCGGGAATGAGCCGGCGGAAAACAACCGGGTGACGCCGATGCTGCGGCATCTTGTGTACAAAATAAAGTCTACCGGCCCCATCACTGTGGCCGAGTACATGAAGGAGGTGTTAACCAACCCCGCCAAGGTATGGGTCAGGGATCCTGCGAGCCCGCCGTAGCGGATTTAGGAGGTGCAGGCGGCGAGGGGCTGTGTGTAGGGGGAAGCCCGAAGCTCTCCTAGGGCAGCCTGGGGACACGTAGTTGAATCTATCAGTCGGTCACGAGCAGTGCCGGTAGAGAGGACAAATTCCGCAGGAGTCTTACTGGCTTGGAGGGAAGGGTGACTTCCTGCCTGGCCGGCTGGTGGGGGTCGTTGTTCGGGAGAAGGGTATGCGGGAGAGGGGAGAGCAGGGCCGCTCTAGGAGGCGGGGGAAGGATGCAGAGTTGTCCGAGAAGGCCTGTGCTTTGCAAGTGTACGCGGCATTCTTGGGTATGGAGTCGGCAGTAGACAACTGGAAATAAAAATTCATTGCCTGGAAAGTTGTCTGTCAGTAATTTCACTGGGCATTGGGAGCATATTCAAGCTTTTCTTTTCTTTTTCTGAGACAGGGTTTCATTATGTAGTGCGGGCTGGCCTTGAACTCGCATATGTAGCCCAGGCTGGCCTCAAACTCACCGTGATCTCCTGCCTCAGCCTTCCAAGTGCTGGGATTATAAGCCTGCACCACCACACCCAGTGTCGGGGTTTTACTTTTGAGAACAGAGTCTAGGTCTTTGTGCTAGGGCTCAGAACTGTCACAGTTTTCTGGCCTGCAGTTCCTTGTCCACTCTGCAAAGTGGTTTGGTGATAGTGGTTTACAATGTTTCACTTGTGGTTGACATCTGTGAGACGTTGGGTGTGGTGAAGCTATGTAAGTGTCCATAGGTTTCCCACAGGCAGAGCTATTGTAATGTTTGTGGGCAGTGCTACAAGATAGGTGGCTTAGGTCAGTGTGGTGGTAGAAATAAGGTGAGAAATGGGCGCTTCAGAAATAGATCTTGGACTCAGGATTTGCTGATACGTGGAAGGGTGAAGGAGAGAGAAGGATCAAGACTGAGTCTTAGATTTTTTTAGCTTGAGCAGTTGGGTGAAGATTGTGCCTTCTGTTGAGACGGTTATGATGCAAGAAGCGGGTTTGGAGGAGTTCTGGGAAAGAAGATCTAATCAGGAGCTGTGTCTGACAGTGGCAGTGATGTCCAGGTGGAGGTAGGAAGTGGCAGTTGACTGTAGGTGTCTGAAGTTAGGAGCGGATTGGGTGTGCATGTGTGAATTTGGTTGCAGTCAGTGTATAGGTGGCGCTGAAAGCCAAGAAACCAGGGAGAGTGTACATAAAGAAATTTTCCCAGCGTTAAGACTTGGGATAACTCCAACATTTAGTATGAGATTCGTAGCCTTAGAGACCCTGGAATGGAAAGCTGAGGGCTTGTGAACTTGAATTGAAGAAATGACTCTGTTGTTTTCATTAACTCATAATTGAAATTCAGCATTTTAAAAATTATAAACAGACACCAGCTAAGAACATTGGCAGTTCTGGTACTGGGGATTGGACCAGGGGCTTTCACACTGAGGTGCATTAGCAAACTTTATTAATTTTTTGACAAGGTCTCACAAAGTCACTAACTTGCCCTGGTTGGGTATGAACTTGCAGTCCTCCTGCCTCAGCCTTCCAGACTGCTGGCATTAAAGGTGTGTACCACCATGCCCAGCCAATACTTGGGACTTTGAAATCAGTGGAGAGAATTGATACTGTCATTGTCACAGTACAGTGCTTACAAGTACCTCAGAATACTGTTGTGTTCATCCTTTAAAACTTAGTTAATTATTAGATTTTTCACTTGATTTTGTTTTCTGATACACTAGAAAAAGCATATTTTTAAACACTAGATAAGTATTTTTCCATTGATTTCTTCTGTAATTCTGTGTGTTTAAAGTTATGTGCAGTTAAGCTGACATACTCCTATAAACCGACCACTCTGGGAGGCTGAGACAGGAGGATTGCAACTTCATATCCAGCCAGGGCAGTTTAGTAATTTATGGAACCTTATCTCAAAGTAAAGTAAAAATAGGCTAAGGATGTAGCTCAGTGTGGAGGCCCTGCGTTCAGTACTGAGTCCTGAAAACATGTATGCATTTAAAAATTCTTTGAAGGGTTTACTGTAGGCTGCACTATGTTACCAGCGTGGTTCACTGCCCCCGACATGCTTGCTTCTGAAGTGAAACCTCATCCCCTCTAAAAGGGTAATGTTACGGATAGAGAAAAAAGGTTCTCTTTCTAAAGATGAGAGTGAGTTTATTTCTAATGCCAAAAGGGAAAAGTTAAAGCTGTAAGAGATAGGGGCTGATAAAAAGAGCCTGGGGGTGTTGAGTAAGGAGTGGCAGTCCACACCATTAGGTCTGGCGGACGGACAGACAGGGAAGCCTGTGAGTCTGAGAGGGAGTGGGGCAGGTGGAAGCCAGGCGGGGCAGTGTTTTGAAGAACCTGTCTCACTTCTTGCACAGGGTAGGAGTCCAGGGCCGCCTGCTAAGTATGAGATGGTAGAGTGAGGTATTTGAGAAGCAGGGAAAGTTTTGAACAGGAAATTCTTTCTTGAAAGTTATGTATTATTTTAAAACTTGGGATATGAAAAGAAATAAGGCATAGTTCTCTCTCCTAAATAATTACCGCTTCTTGTGAAGAGCACAGATATAGCAATAAGCTCAGAAGAGGAAGCACTGGATTTAGACTTAGGCCAGAGGGCTGAGCAGGAGGTCAGCAAAGACAGCCTTTGAGCAGACTCAAAGGTTGAGTATAGTTTTGAGCAAGAAATGAAAAGGGAGAATGTGCAGTAGCATAGATGTGCAGACATTAGAGCTAATTTATAAACAGCCTACCTTTTTATTGAGGTGTGATGTTCATACAGAAAAGTGCATGGATCGCAAGAGTCCAGTTGAGTGCATTTTCACAGAGTGAGTGAACACTGTCGTGTAACGTGCCAACACCAGAAGCAAAACATTAGCCAGCGCTGGTGTACAAGTTTGTAATCTCAGGTACTTCGGAGGCTGAGGCAGGAGGATCTTGAGTTCAAGACCAGCCTGGGTGATATAGAGAGACCCCATCTCAGAAAACAACAAAAGAAACAGAATATCATCAGCAGGCCTGGCTCCTTTGGGAGAGGAGGCGGGAAGGCTGGGTGGGGTCTGTGGCTGAACTGTGAGCAGAAAGGGCAAGGAGGGCAGGGAGGGCAGAGATGCGCGCTGCATGGCTCCTGGGTCTGCGGCTGAGGAGTAACTTTTTCTATCAGTTTGGCAGACTGAATCCTATTTTGTAAAAGAAGTAAAGACACTGTCTCTATCTTGCCTGTTGAGAGAAGTTTCACACTAAATATTTCATGGTGTGTATAAGATTTTGAAGAAGTTTTAAAAAGTCTTACTTGAAAATTAATTTTTCTCTATTTTTTCCTTTTGCTCAGGGATATTATATGCACCGTGATATGCTGGGAGAAAAAGGAGATTTTATTACTTCACCTGAAATAAGTCAGATCTTTGGAGAGGTAACACCGTCCGTAAACTATGAAAGACAGTAACACCATCAACATTTGAGAGCAGATCAGTTTGTATTAATGTATAGTAATATTTTACAAGGGTTTTTGTGTGATTCCTCAAAAGTTTTAATTCTTTAGAGGGGATAGAGAGGAAATGGGAAAATGGTAGAGAGGACATTTGGAAAATTTGTACTTGACTGTAGAAAGGGAAATAGATTATAAGAGGATGTACAGGAGGAAAAGAGATGGAAGCCAACAAATTGGAGAAAGAACCAGATGAAGCTGAGAATAGAGGAGAAGAGGGAGAAAAGATAAAAAAGAACACCGAAGAATTAGTGGACTCAAGATGAGCTCTAGAGCTCGCAGCCATGATTTAGTCACAGCTACAGTGGAAGTCTGCTTTTAAGGAACAGAATTTCAGTTACTTCCGTATAAGTACCTTTGATAATTTAGAAATAGGAAAGTGTACGCGAGAGGAAGTAGAATCCAGGTTAATTAGACGAACTAATTATATCAAAGAATGAGGTAATTATTTAAATTATGAGTGTGAAGAAATGTCATAGTCTCATTTCAGATGTCTTTATTTTCAAAGACTAGAACATTGTTGTAAGTGATGTCCTCTTACCTACCAATTTTGATCGCGGGGCAGATCTGAGATCCTCTCACCCATCCTTGCTGGTGGACCTTTTCAGGTCTCAGGCAGTTTCTCTGTACTCATGCCCTTATCAGCATTCTGCCAAAGGCTTTCCATGACCCTGTGTGCTCCCTCTCCCCTCCCTCTCCCCTCCCTCTCCCCTCCCTCTCCCCTCCCTCTCCCCTCCCTTCCTCTCTCTGCAATAAAAAGCCTCATGGTACAGATGAAGGATAAAAGCATTTTCTTCTATTATTAAGCTTCCTACATGGTGTATGTTGTGATATATATAGTCCTACTGAAGTTCTGTGTGTA